CCACATACTTCTGTCTTATCTGGATTTGGCCTTAGTCTCCATTTGTGAAAATATCTTTCCAAGATGCTTAAGTTATTTGTTAGGATATTCTCGCCTTCTTTCATATCTTTACACGTATGTGCTATGGCAATGTCGTCTGCGAACTGGAATTTTTGGCCAGTGGTTATCGGTAAATCATGCATGTATAAGTTGAATAGCGCAGGGGCTAGTACTGATCCTTGTGGTAGTCCGTTATTCACCGAGCGCCACCTACTTTTCTTTTCATCCATAAACACTTGGAACATGCGGTTGACTAACATGTTGTTTAACAATTCACCCATTTTCTTGCAAGGCACTATGTTTATAAACTTATGCATAAGCCCTTCTCTCCACACAGTATCGTACGCAGCAGATAAATCAATAAATGCTACATTCGTCTTCAGTTTTCTTTGAAATCCTGCCTCGATCATTGTAGTGAGCTTTAAGACCTGTTCCACACATCCACGGTTATTTCTGAAACCTGCTTGTTCTATTGGTATGTGTTTATCCAGGGTGGGTTGTATTCGGTTTAATATTAATCTCTCTAATAGCTTGTATGATACACTAAGGAGTGATACCATTATCATGCGTTTCTTCGTATTCTTCCAAGAGTTTCTTACATGCCACATCCCATCCTGGTATATACGTTTTTCTGTAACCTCTTGGTATATGCTTTTCTGCTGTCTTCTTTATGCTTTACAAAATCGATCATAATTGCAGGAGATTGGTGGAATCCATTTAACTATCCTTTCTAAGTCCTTGGCATATTCGTCCCACTTTGCTAATTTAAAATTCTATCGAGGTTTAGGTATGGACCTAACTATTGGGATCTGGAGACCATAGTCTATTAAAACCGGTCTATGTTGACTGTGTAGGAAGTTTTCCAATACCGTTCTAGTTGTAGTTGTGTTGTCAATCATCGATTTCCTTGTTAGGATACATAGATCCGGAGAGTAATCCTTTTGCCATCTGGCTGAATGAAATGTCCCCTTTTCTTTAGCGTTGTATATAAGTTCCTTGTTGTTTAGAGTGATCCAATTCATAGTGATGTCCCCATTTCTGTCATTTAGGTTATATCCCCACATTTGGCTGTGACTGTTGAAGTCACCAACATAAACTGCCGGGTGCTCAAATAATTTGATAGGAGGGTTACTCCATTCTACGTTTGGTGGCTTATAGATATTTATAACGGTTATTCCACATATTTCTATAGCTAAGACTTCGATGTTCCTACTGCATTCGCTGATTATCATCCTTACACTGTCAATGTTGTCTCTCACATATGTCGCTACACTATACTGCTTATGGTGAATAGCTCCAATAAGTACATAACCGGATATGTACCCTCTTTTGCACAGATCAGCGTTATCAACTGTATGTGTTTCTTGTATAGCAATTACATCAATAGCCTTTAGTCTGCAGATACTTCCTAACAATTCGCTCTTAGCATTTGATATTCCTTCGATGTTGAAGTGGCAGATCCTAAGGACCGCCCCTACTCTCAGTGTCATATAGTCCTGAAAAGGACCTTTTTGCATGTTACTGTGTAGGCTGGGTAACAGCGCCTTGGTGGTGGTATTAGTTGCGTACAAGAAAGAAACTTCTTTCTTTAAAGCTGTCTGTTCTTAGCGCATGCAGGGAGGGCCACAAGCAGGCTACCACCATCCTCCCTAGCTCATGATAACATCTAAGCAATAACAATTCGCATTTATTTTTTAATATTCAACTGTATTATGTAGAGTGTTAGGAAATATATAGATAAAATGTATTTTATATATTAACATAAAGTAAAGACATTTGTCTTTATTTAAATACAATTTTAGTTGTCTAATTGTACTTATATTGATATTTTCTTTTAATGGATTAAAAAAATATATTTGAAAAATTAAAAATAATATTAATATAATATACATATTTATATAAACCTATTACTCTAAAAACTAATAGTTCTGTAATATATACGAAATTACATTGAGCATTGGACATTGAAAACTATAAATACCAAGATATTGTAAGGTAACATTGGGTTCTATACTCCTATAGAGTGCGACACGAGTGGCAAAAACACAAAATAGTTTGTATTTTCTTGCATGCGAGTGATACTCAATTTTATTATAAGTACAGGTATTTTTAAAATTACAGACACTAACTATCAAAATCTTACTGATTAAATTTTTAAAAAATGTATGTAGTTTTTGGAATTTAATCAGTAGAAGTACCGTTACTCTTGACAACGCTTTTTAAATGGTTAATTGTAAATTCCCTTTGTGCTGGAATACTTCATATAATGCAATACTTATAAAACAGACAACACAAATTATTAAGATATTTAATGACTTTCGTTTAATTAAAATTAGATTAATGGGTATTTATGGAAGAATATTGTAAAATCATGGAACCCTTAGTAATATCATTGGACTAATTGCAATGTTAAAATAGGAGATTCTGGGCTTTGTAGCATCAACTATTCTAGTATAAGAAAATTATTAGTAGAATTTACGAATCTGAAGCATTGCAAGCCATTAAACTATATAATTGTAAAAGCCATAGAAACTAGATTTCATTATTAATTTGATTTAAGTAGTTCAGAACGTAAAAGTTTCATTATTTCTTCAATAAGTCATCCTAAATTTAACACGTTCAATGTCATAGTCGACGGGTAGTCGACATCGGTAACATTTCCCGGGTCGCCTTTGTCGACTACCCGTCGACAAATATAGTGTTCACTTTAATGGTTTATAATTTTTACTGGCTACGAGATAACGGTCTGAAATTTATTGTAGGCGATCAGGTTCCTTCTTACGAATTTAACGATACCATTGGTTTTAAATTTTGTTTATTTTTAGTTTGGATATTTATTTTTCCCCGAAATCACGACGACGTTTATCGCCGATAATAATTGTATACCGTATTATTATAACTCAGTTGTAATTTGACATAAGAAAATGGTATAAATAACATTCCCAACACTAACATAATATTCATACAAATTATTTTATGCTATATACACCGTGTTCCTCAGAATACAGGGTGATTCGAAAAATATAAAACTATTTTTATTACGCAATGAAAATTATTTTTAATTATGAAATGGTTAACATTATTTTAACCGTTACTCTATAATAATTTATTCAATAATATACGAAATAAATTATTATTTTCAATTAGTTACATACTAGGATAAGTACGTATTTCAGCATCGCGCCGTCGCGTATCGCCGGTGTCGACGCATAGTCGACCGTATGTAGTTTCGGCGCGGCGACTAGGGCACTGCGCCGTAAACACTAGCGGAGCTCAACGTGTTAAGCTAAGTTGGATACCAGTTAGGTTTATAATTTTTTGTAAAACAATTTTTCTAACCGAGTGTGATGAAGTAGCCGCAACTTCTAAGTTAAAAAAAAAAATAAAAAGTAATTAATTTTTATCCTTATTTAGATAAAAAAATATTTATCTTATCCCAATACTGGTTTTATATTCTTAAATTGTGGTAATGTTTTTGTTTTTTTTTTACGAAATATGTTACATTTCATATGAATCATTTAATTAAAAAGTTGTACGTAAAGTTAACCCATACAGTATTTGTGATAAATGTTATTATTTCGCAGGTATTAAAAATAAATAGCACCAAATATAAGGCTAAAAATAAATCTAAACACATTTTTGGAACTATTAATTTGTATTAATAAGAATAATTGGTATTAGAATAGTACATTCAAAACAAAAATAAAAAACCATATACTTAGTTGTACTACATTTAATGTAAAGTTTTTAAAAGTTTAGATACAGTTGTGTGTATACATTATACAAATTTGCCTACATTGTGTAGCTAAACAATTATTACTTTTGAACACCTAAGGGGTACTTATTTTGTAGTACTTACTTAGAAATATATGTGTATTTTATCAAATTAGGTGATGTTTTAAAAAGCTTTTAAATATTAATTTCTCTGACTAAAATAAATCTTAATACTAAATTACATGCAACACAATGGTTTGATTGTATGTATTATCAGTTTATTGAAGACATATTCGTATACGTTGAAAAATTAGTAAAATTAAGATTTTTAACATCTGAATACATACGTGTATTTTTATTTAAATATATTATGGCATTGAAATTGTTAAAAATAAAAATTTATGGGTGATTATTTAACAAACTATACTTTACTAATTATAATGATACCTTAGTATCAACAACTTTAAATTTTAATGTTGCTAATTATTTCTTATATTGAACAAATTATATTTTCATGTACAAATTAAACTTCACTAAAACATGTTATTCAATCATTATTAAGTGTAAGGTTTCACGATATGAAAATATGGTAAAACATTCTGAAGCAATCTTTACTAAAAGTGATATTGTATTGTTATTGTTGTTTACTGGTTTTTTTTCGACCATTGAAATGACCTTCAATAAAAGCAAGTACCTTGTGTCATAGTAGTTAGTAGGATTTTTATTAGACAACACATTTGATTTGTCGCGATTTCACCATGGTCGATTTACGTATACTTAATACATTGGAACGGCAAAAGAAAAATATTCCCTTTAAAAAAAATTTATAATTGAGTACTAACACATGTGACGTTTGCGAAAAGAAAATATTAAATGATGACTGGAGGAACAGGATGGGTTTGGACGCGTATGTGGTGAAAACTAAAGGAGTCGCGTTAGTGTTAATTTCACGCACTTGAAGTTTTCGGTAGAATGGATGCGAATAACGATTATTACGCTCGAGTTGACGTACAGTCCACACACACACATTGGTGCGCGTGCCTCAGATTTTAAATTAATAATTACCACAAGTACATTGTAATAAAACGTATCTGCTCAAAACAAAATAAATACTAACACACACACACCACGTGAATGCACGTCAAACGTGAAAGCGTTCGATTCATTAACACACAATGCGTGTTAAAATATTCTGTTTATGCTTTTCTATTAATAATTATTATTATATTGTTTTCCGTCCGCCACAGAACACGAACTCCATCTTGACGTGTCCGACCCGGCGACCGCCATCGAAGCTCAGCCACCGGTCAAGCTGCGTACGACAACCGTAGCGCCGTCCACGCCAACTCCCGAGCCTATCATTCACGTGGGCACGACTAACACTACGGTTCAGCTGGGCAGCACAGCGTTGCTTCACTGCGAATTAGCCAACTTGACCGAGAAAATGGTAAATTCAATACTTAAACGGTTATTAGATAAATTACATTCACGGAGGGTTATAATGAATAACGAACACCAGGTGTGGCGTAGGCATCGGTTATAATTGTGATATTACGCCGTGTAGCTGCCGGTTTGGCCGGTAAACTTACTCACTTCTAGTTTTGTGAGCCGTGCGGTTGTAAGCTCTGCAAACACGAAATAACCAACATATTCTGTTCAAATTTGTGTTTTCTATTTCTTCCCTTGTATTCCCGTCCGTCACGACGGAGATAACGGTGAAATCCGCATGGTTTATTAAATACCGCACACGTACGTAAGCTGCAAGGGTTATTGTATACAAATATACCGTAAATTAGTCCGTTAGTTAGTTGGTTATTGTATACCAAAATTGGTAATATATCGTGGTAGACGAATAGATTGAAAGGTGTGTGACATATGGGCTGCTGGACGGAAACTGGGTATGGTGTGAGCAGGAAAGAAAGTATGCCCTCGGGGCGGGTTCTTTGACACACAGTCGTATGCAAATACTGACGAAGTATAACCGTTGTACCGGAAACTATGGTATTACTTTCCGTTTGTTTTCTGATCAAAAAATGATATTCCCAGAGCCTAACCAGAAGTTTTATAAAGAATATACCCAGAAGTACAGTTTCGATTCTAAACTGAAATTGCGGTTGTCTCGGGTCGTAACTACCACTGTAACACCGCACATACTATCAGATTGTAATACTTTTCTTTCGAATGCGCTAGACCATGAAAATAATATTACAGAAGTTTTCATAAGAATAAAAAAAAAAATACATATGTCCTAGAATTGTAATGGCAGTTTATATGATTGTTCATAGGATTAATCAATTTTCTTATTGCTTTGACAATTTATCCAGCAGTATTTGACATCGGGAAATATAAAATTATATTTCTAGAAAAATATTGACATCCTTGAAAATAAACCATGAAAGCATAACATTTAATTAACGATACTCGTACTAATTTTACAAGAAATAATTTTTCAGAATATATCAAAACTACTTCTCGTTAATAGGATTTCAATATTCAATTTTTAATAAGTTAACTAAAAAATTATACAGATTTCAAGTACACATTGAGCTATATTAATTTGTTTTACTGCAATTTACTAAAAATTATTATACAAACAAGAAAAATTAACAAATAAAATATTATTATAACTATTATACAATCAATTAATTTTTTTTTTTTTAATTTAATTTTGTATTTTTAAATCGTGCGAGATGTATGAAAAAAAAATTGTGTTTGATTGTCTTATTTTCCCATCAGATGTCGTAATAAGTTATCACTTGGAAGGACACTATATATATTTATATATATATATGTTATAATTCGTTACTAAACTTGCCCTGTTTATTCATTGGATAATTAGCTTGAACATTTTATGAAACAGCTAAGAAAGTTTTATTTATCATCGTTGTCTTTTTTCTCAATATTTTAAGTTAATTTTTTTTTTTTATTCTTAAACTTTGTATTATTATTCAAATACTCATTCAATAATTACAAATTATAATAATACGAATTATGTATTTGTATTATTATAATTGGTCAATAAAATGTAAATTATTAAAATCCAAATAGGTTTAGTATTTAATATTTTTTAGTACTCTAATATCATTAACTATTTTCGCATGGTTGTTTAGTAATATAACCAATACATAAATTCTATACCAATTTATGTACTTGAAATTTTAATAAATGGTGTGTAACATAAACAGTTAGAATTGATTCTTTTTGTTTTTCTTTAAATATTTATATTTCTTCATATTATACGTAATATTAGTACATGTTACTAATTTTAATGAATTTTATAATATTTAGATAATTTAATATTATTTATACATGAAACATATGCCAGTGGAACTCTAAGATAATAATAATAGTAATAATTAAATCATTTTAGTATTTCACCTTCATATTTTTATGACTCACAAATTGAGAAACATAATAGATTCTTCAATAATAAACAAAAGAAGATTATACATAATAGTTAATTTTTTCAAGTTTGCTGTAAGAATTTAATTTTTGTATACAATTATTTATCTTTAAAACTTTAAAAAGTAAAACGTGACAAGTAAAATAGAAATTCATAAGTACACGAGAAATAACAAATATAAAAATATTATTAAAGTTGAAACTGTTTATAATATAACAATTTTTAATAAAAATGAAAATCGACAGTTAACTCTGTTTACTGTTAACAAAATAATATAAACGTGTATTGTTATCAGTTTATTTTGATACTATAGCCCTTTGCGGACCAATGGGACTTTTAAGTCCACTGACAATTTGTACATACATAAGAAGGAATAAAATAAAATATGTCCTATCTGACCAATGGGATATAAATGTCACAATGTTTTCTTTCAATTTTATAAGAGGTGATTTTGTGTAAAATCAATAGATAGCGCAATATATATCATTTTAAAATAGAAATTATGTTTTTGTTCAAATAATATTTTCTAGATTTTTAAAAATAGCTACCGCATGAAAAACCACTGATAATCACAATTGGTCGATGTTTTTATTATCGTAAACATGTAATATATCATTATGTATCTATATAATATGATAAAATTTGCGTTTAATATTTTATTTTAGTATATTATTTCTCCGGACATAAAAGTCCCATTGGTCTGTTATGACTTGCGCACTATCGTCGTGAATGGCATTTCGAATCGACATAAGGTTACGCGTTTTTTTTATACTCGTAATTTTACAATGGTGAATTTTAAAAAGTTGAGTGATTTTGAAATAGAAGCTTTAATTGAAATTCCTTGTGATGATGGTGGGCTTACGGATATTGAATATGATACTGATGAAGAATGTTTTATAGAAAGGGATTATTTAGATATACCAGATCTAAATACGAATAGTAATAAAGAGTTTTTTTTCATTGAATATCATGGGTACGTTACTTATATTTTTTTTAAATTTTATAAATTCTTATTATTTATTTACTTATATACTATAAATATACTATAATTTTAGACCTTCTAATTGAATTTATTGAAAATGTGGAACCAATTGCTGGTCCGTAAAGTAGTGTACAATCTAACCCAATTATTGAAAATGATTTACTATCTGCTGAAGAAGATGAACCAAGAAAGAAGAGGCCAAATAGGACAAAAAAAAGAAATATGTCTCCTCCATGTTGTATGGGCTGGAAAAAAAAATGGAATCATCACGTGACAATTCCTGACTATAATAATTTTGACGGTATAAACATAATATTTTAAAATAAATTCAATTAAATTAATTATTTAATATTTTAAAATAATATTTTATAAGTAATTATTTATTTTTATAAAATAAAAAATAAAAACTAATCTTTATAATTTTTGATAGGTTCTATTCATGGAATGTTTATGGATTGTCCTAATCCAACTGATGGTTTTCTTAAAGTTTGTGGACCAATTTTAATAGATATATGTGCTCAATCAAATCTATATAGTACACAACAAGGAAAAATATTAAATTTACAACTTGAAGAATTGTATGCGTTCATAGGTATACATTTTTTAATGGGGTATCACAAACTACCATCTTGGAGGGACTACTGGTCTACAAGCAATGAGTCGCAAACGGTTTGAAAATACCTTAAGTTTTTTACATGTAAATGATACCAATAATATACCTGCTAACTGTAAGGATAAACTTTATAAATTGAGACCTTTTATTAATGCAATTAATGATAGATTACCTGCATTGTATAATGTAAATAGGGTTAGTGTTGATGAATCTATGATTTTATTTAAAGGTCGGAGCTCAATTAAACAGTATAATCCAATGAAACCAATAAAAGGGGTTATAAATTGTGGTGTTTAGCGGATCAAAATGGATTTATCAGTAGATTTTCGGTATACCAGGGAAAAGAAGAAGTTGTGGATGAGTTTAATAATTTTGGATTGGGTGAAAGAGTTATGCTAAATTTAACAAAGCCTTTTTGGAATAAAGGTATGAAAGTATTTTTCGATAATTATTTTACATCGAAACATATTTTAGAAAAATTAAAATTTGAAAATACTTTTGCATGTGGGACAATAAGGTCAAAAAGAAAAAATATCTCTTCTTTAGCTGAGGACAAATCGTTGGAAAGAGGTATGTATGACTGCAAAACATCTCAAATGGGCATCATAATTTATAAATGGAAAGACAATAGAATAGTTCATTTTGCTTCTAATTTTCATGGTGTTGAAGAAAGTACAGTACTCCGTACTGAACAAGATGGTTCTAAAAAGTCATTAAGTGTCCTCTTGTAACAAAAGATTATAATACATTTATGGGCGGAGTGGATAAGGCAGATCACTTGAGAGCTCTGTACAATGTTGATAGAAAATCTAAGAAATGGTAGCATTGATTATTCTGGGGTATTCTTGATATTGTTTTTGTCAATTATTTTGTGATAAATAATAAGCTAAACGATACAAACTTAAGTGTTAAAGAATTTCGTCGAATAGTATCTCAAGGGTTAATAGTTTTTAATAAATCTGGCCTAAAAAGAACTTATGATACATCTTCAAGTAACAATAAAAATAGCTTACAACCTAGAAGAGGCAAACAATTATATTCTACACCTTCAGATGTGAGACTAGGTAACTTGGGAACACACTGGATAGAATACTCTAAAACAAGAGGTAGATGTGAGGTGTGTAGTAAAAAAAAAATTGAATCCAAACCATTTAGTAAATGTACAACATGCAAAGTTTTTTTATGCCAAAATGAACAGAAACCTTGTTTCAATGAGTATCATACAAAGTAATTAATAATATATGTGAATTTTTTAATTGTAATTACAATAATAATATTGTTAATATAAATAAAAAGAGATATTAATTATATATTTTGAGTGTTAATCTTATTTTGGTGTTTTCCTCTCAAATAACTAATACATGTGAATTTATTTTTATATAATATAAAGTACAACAAAAAAAAAGTATTTTTTTACCATTTGAGTATAGCCAATAGGTACCCACTTAT